GGAGGTTGCTATGAGCTGTAATGCCACGGCACTCTACCCAGGGGGACAGCTTGAGGCTCTGTCTCAAAAAAAAAAAAAAAAAAAAATTCTGCTCCTAAATATATACTTGAGAAAACTAAAAATATATGACCTAGAAGCATTATTGCTGTGAGCTATGGCACCACAGCACTCTACCAAGGGCAATAAATAAATAAATAAAAATAGGAAAACTAGCCAGCCATGGTTGTGGGTACCTCAGCTACTCAGGAAAGAGTTTAAGGTTTCTGTAAGCTAAGATTACACCACGGCACTCTACCCAGGGTGACAGAGTGGGACTGTCTCAAACAAAAAAGAAAGGGGGGCAGTGCCTGTGGCTCAGTGGGTAGGGCACTAGCCCCATATACCGAGGGTGGCAGGCTCAAACTCAGCCTGGCCAAACTGCAAGAAGAAAATAGCCAGGCACTGGGGCGGGCGTCTGTAGTCCCAGCTACTCGGGAGGCTGAGAGGCAAGAGAAGTGCCGAAGGCGAGGGGTTGGAGGTTGCTATGAGCTGTGGTGCCACGGTACTCTACTGAGGGCAATAAAAATAAGACTCATAGTTGTGTGCATTAATGCAATCATGGGGTACAATGTGCTGGATTTACATACAATTTGAAATGCTTTCATCAAACTGGTCAACATAGCCTTCGCAGCATTTTCTTAGTTATTGTGTTAAGACATTTTACATTCTACACCTAGTAAATTTCTCCATTTCCTTTTTTTAACACAGAATCTCATTCTGTTTCTCAGGCTAATATGCCATGTAGGTTCAGCCTAGCTCACAGTAACCTCAGACTCTTGGGTTTAAGCAACCTGCTTGCCTTACTGTCCCAAGCAGCCAGGACTATAGGGAACACTCGACCATACTAGCTAATTTCTCCAAAATAAATTCTTTCATATGAAACATGCCTAAAATATTCTTCTATTACAAAGATTGCTTACCCCTTTTTGATAGCGTTCAGAAACTGCTGACTTGCACCATCAGAATAACTTCTGAAATCATCATTTACTGTGAATCCATTTTTCCATAATTTTATACTTAGATCTACCTGCAGAACAGTAAAAAGTAAAATGCATCATTTTAATAAAACATAGTGGATAAAATGTCCTTTGATAATTTCTTCTATCTGGCTCAGTAGCTATAGCTCAGCTGCGAGGAAGCCAACGACATACATGGGGGCTGGCAGGTTCGAACCCAGCCCAGGCCTGCCAAACAACGACAACTACAACAACAACAAAAAATAACCAGGTGTTGTGGTCCCAGCTACTTGGAAGGCTGAGGCAAGAGAATCACTTAAGCCTAAGAGTTTGAGGTTGTTGTGAGCTGTGACAACATGGTACTCTACCAAGGGTGACATAGTGAGACTCTGTCTCAAAAAAAATAAAGAAAGAAAACTTTTTCTATCACTATATATTTTATGTATTCTTCTTTTTTTTTGAGGCAGAGCCTCAAGCTGTCCCCCTGGGTAGAGTGCCATAGCATCACAGCTCACAGCAACTTCCAACTCCTGGGCTCAAGCGAGTCTCCTGCCTCCACCTCCCAAGTAGCTGGTACCACAGGCACCCACCATAATGCCCGGCTATTTTTTGATTGCAGCTGTCATTGTTGTTTGGCAGACCTGGGCTGGATTTGAACCCGCCACCTTAGGTGTACGTGGCTGGTGCCTTAGCCACTTGAGCCACAGGCACTGAGCCTTATGTATTCTTCTTAAGAAAAAACTTCAAGTCCAGGTGTGGTGGCTTATGCCTATAATCCCAGCACTTAATGAGGCCAAGGTGGGTAGATTGCCTGAGCTCACATGTTTGAGCCCAGCCTGAGCCATAGCAAGACCCCATCTCTAAAAAATAGCTGGGCATTGTGGTGGGCACTTGTAGTCCTAGCTACAAGGGGATCACCTGAATCCAAGAGTTTGAGGTTGCTGTGAGCTAAAATGCCATGGCTCTCTACCAAGGGTAACCAAGTAAGACTCTGCCTCAAAACAAACAAACAAAAACCAAGAAAAAACTTCAAGCCAGGCACTCAGTGGCTTACACCTATAATCCTAGCACTTTGGGAGGCTAAGGCAGGTGGATTGCTTGAGCTCACAAGTTTGAAACCAGCCTGAGCAAGAGCAGAGACCCTGTCTCTAAAAATAGCCAGGCACTGTGGTGGGCGCTTGTAGTCCCAGCTGCTCAGGGGACTGAGGCAAGAGAGTAGTTTGAGCCCAAGTCCAAGAGTTCGAGGTTGCTGTGAGCTATGACACCATGACACTACCAAAGGCAACAAAGTGAGACTCTCTCTCAAAAAAAAAGAAAACTTCAAATGTAAAAAATTTTTTAAATGCATATATAATATGATTCATTATGGGTAATATCTTACAATAAATTATTAATAATTTTAAGAGAGGTCACGCACAGTTGGGTCATCCCTGTAATCCTAGCACTCAGGGAGGCTGAGGCAGGAGCATCCCTTGAGCTTAGAAGTTCAAGACTTCCCTAAGCGAGAGAAAAACTTCATCTCTACTCAAAATAGAAAAATTGTCCAGGCATTGTGGCAAGTGTCTATAGTTCCAGCTACTCAGGAGACTGAGGCAGGAGGAATGCTTGATCTCAGGAGTTTGAGGCTGCTGTGAGCTAGGCTGATGCTGTGGCACTCTAGCCTGGACAACAGAGTAAGACTTTATCTTGATAATAACGACGACAACAACAATAATAATAATTTTAAGAGAACTCATTTGGAAAAATGTTCTGTGTCCTGTCTGTCTCAGAAGTTGCCTGAGGTAAAGCCTTCTGTCTGGAATAGACTTCTCAACAGTTAGGGAAGGATTTCATTAGAAGTGACTTTGGCGGCTCGGTGCCTATAGCTCAACCGGCTAAGGCGCCAGCCATGTACACCTAAGGTGGCGGGTTCGAATCCCCAGCCCGGACCCGCCAAACAACAATGACG